TTCAGCTTGTCGTCTCTGGCATCACCGCACCTAAACTGGCTGGCTGGCACCACGAAAGGTGGTCCTTATCTTGTGCTCAGAGCGAGAAAGTACTTATCCATGATTTACCCCTTCTGTATGTGTATTGTTTCACATGGCTGTTTAATGTTGTTCTGACTTATTTCCGTCCAAGTATTCACGTTGAAAATCGTTCGATCCGACCTCACACCTCACAAGGGTTCTCACGCAGCGATCTTCCTTACCATTACTCAGGCCCTCCAAGGCTGCAGAGAAGAATGACCGGCTAGGCAGAAAAATCGTCAATTGTCATCAGAGGCGAGAGCCCTCGAAAACGACCATAAGCTCTGTCGCGAACGAAGAGCATTTTAGAGGAATCTACTCCGAGACAGTAAGGTAATGCGTCCGTTCCTTCACCCTTTATCAGATCACCGAGAAGGTCCGTGAATCTCATCTATTGTCTGGGGCTTGATGGAGAACGTGCGGGCACGATGAGCTGCCACATCTATCTACGGATTCGGTACGCGAGCAAACAATAGCAGCAGCAGCCACGGCAGAGCTCAGTGCCAGCAAGCAGCCCCTAGCATGGCGACTTGCAAGTCACCGGCTTACGTGTGCCCACGGCGCGCCTCTTCGTACAGCGGGGCAGCTCACCGCTACAACTCGTCTTGCACTTTGATGATCAGACCAAAACAGCGTGGCCATTGCCGCAAATGCATGAGGTGAGACCCATGTCCATAAGGCTTGTGAGCAGAGGCAGCTGTGAGCTCGTGGTCCTTTCCGACCGACAGGACGGCGTCTGTCGACTCGTGGTACGGCAGGAACGACGTATGGATAGTGTTACTGAGAGATAGTAGAGTGTCACGTTGATGCTGTCAAAATAATGTAGAAGAGATTCTGTCAGGGACTGCAATTTTGGCATTAGCCTTTGAGAAGCAGAAGTACCAGCCGCTGGTCATTGTATCGGTCTATTCACTGCAGAGTATCAGTCTTCTCGAATGATTAGATAATTATAATGACCGAGCGCCCAAAACTCCATTAGACGGGCGTAGGGTCCTTGCCGATGAGACTTGGGCAAGCCCATCTCGCGTAGATTGAGGGAACATTGTGAAGAGGTATATTTTGTGAGGTTCGTGATGATGGCTGCATTCTAGCAAAGTACCGCTATCAAGGTGGCTAGCTCAGTGGCTACTCAACGAATATAACGAGCGTCGACATTGTTGGTCATGATGGCATCGTGTGCCCCTGAGCATCGAGCCTGACCAGCTCTGCTTCAGCTTCGCCTCTTGCAAAGACGAGAATATTGAAGCCCAGCGCAATAGAAGCATGTGGACCTACTAAATATGACCTTAATGTTGTCTGCAGACTAGGTTTACTTCCATGGTCTTCACAAGGGCGCCTTTATGCATAGCGAGTTGATTGACTGTAGAGGAGGAAAATCTCCGGGCAGGTAGCCACTGCTCAAAGAGAAGCCTTGTCTCACCGAAAGAACGATCTCGAGTCTCTGGCAGGCGAAAGGTTCGCGGATGAAGTGTCGCACGTGATCCAAAGCTCATCCGGTCGATTCAACATTCAAGCGCGTCAATAGCGTTAGAGGTTTTTTTTTTCACCACCACGACCTACTTTGCATTCTTCACAATGGTGGACATCTACCCTTCGACTGCGGAGACTTGGCCTGAAGACGGCTTAATTCAGGTCTACGACGTGCACGATAGTAGGATAATCCTGCTTTCGGTCGAATTCATGAGGGTCGGTGGCGTGCTTTCCTGGGAGTATGTGCTCTTTGCAACACAATCGGTCGTCGAAGAGGGAGGGCACATTGCTTCTGTCTCTGCGGATGCTCTTGGGCTTCCCAGCGTTCCCGCGCCGGGAAAGTATCGATTCGTTCGACATGATGCGCCGACGCTCCCGCCGAACCTTAGTCGAGGTCCACGCTTTCACTACAAGCGACGAGGACCTGATCCTGCCAGCCGTAGTTCCGATACGATGAGCCATTCGTCGCGCAGCTCAACAAATCAAAATCACTTTCGATTCCTGCTCGGCGTTCGGGATGGCTATTGCATCGTTTCGGAAAGCGCAAAGGCTGTCGCATGCCACATTTTACCGGTCAGCCGACCGGAATATTACGAAGAAGTTCTGGGTTTCGACCCGGGATATCTTTACAACGTCAGTTATGGTATCTTCCTGACACGCGATCTTCATCACGCTTTTGATAGAGGAGAATGGAGTCTCTATCCTAAACCAGGGGACTCGGCCACGTTGGTCGTCCACGTCTTTTACTGTGAAGATCCTGCGGACGAAACCAGAGGATTCCACGGGAAGGAGATTCCATGCTCTAGATTCCGATTTCGGAGCGTTCGGGAGCTACCAAATAGGCAACTGCTCGCTTTTCACTATCGGCAATGCCTTATCAAGCACACAAGACTTACCTCTTCTTTTGAATAATGTGAGAGGTACTTCGTTCGATGATGTTTGATCATGTCTTCCCGCTGTTTCTCGTTGCACCATGCTCATTTTGTCGGCTGTCCGCAGCATCTTCGCTCGTCGCTTTGTATAGTGTCCCCTCCAACCTCAATTGGAGCGTGTATGTCTAAGTGAGATGAGTAGAGAATGAGGCCATGAGAGGCTGCTGTTCATGGATGATCGAGGGCTGACTTCTTCTGACAACTTTTGCGATGTAGAGATTCAATCGTGGTCCGTGCTTTCTTCGATAATGGATGTATAAGAGTAATTAGTTCCCATTGCCAGTCGTAAATGGCAGCGCAGCCGAAGAGAATTGCGGATGTGCTGCCGAAGTGCGTGCCAGAAATTATCAATGAGGCCTCCGCACTCGCCATCAAGATCTTCAGCGATCACTAGCCTAGCACGGATCGCTTGCCTCCGAAAAAGAGAGAATTCCGAAGCCAAGCATTCTTTTTCAGGAAAGGAACGATACTTGAATACACCTTCGTGAGATAACCTATTTGCAGACAAGATCCAGTGCTCGCTACGACATTCGGTCTGCAGCACCATTTCCAAAAGCGAAGCTTGGCTCGAGCTTCTCGACTTTCTGGAACACCGCGTGACCATGCCAAGGCTGAAAGTGTGTTGCTTGCTGTCAAGTACGAAGCACTTCCACCTTTGCTCTCTCGCTTCGTCTTTCCTCTCGCCAGATCTTCACGACGCGTTCGCTAACGGCTTCTCTGAATGGACCCAATATCCATCGCTTGACACGAGAGAGTAGCGCAAAGAGCTTCGTCCTGTCAATTTCGTCTCGAATCCAAAGCGGTCTGTCCAATACAGGTGTAAGAATCTGTAGAATGGATTGGTGAGTTCACATCACAAGCTTACATAGACGTGACCCACCACTTCTGAGTCTTGCCCAACGTAAGCCAGATGCATATTCCACTGCGAGCCAGCAGAAGTCAGAGCTACGATGCATGGAGTGAATGACATCGCGGAAAGTTCTGCGAGCTCGCTGAGAAGGGCAAGCGCGCGGGCAGCTCCCACAGCGACCTGATTTTCGGCCCATAGAATTGGATTTTTGTCCGATTTCGCCTCGTAGACGATGCAAGGATAACAGATGTCTTGCATTTGCGACGGACTGTACGTGAGAGCGGAAGAAACAGATCGGTGAAGGGCATCGAGCATTGTGTCATCGAAAGTCACTGTATTATCGTCCTTGTCCTCTGCCTGAGAAGCGTTCTTCGGAGCGATCCCAAATGCAAAATCAGGTTTTGGGTCGTGTAGAGATTCAGCACTCGAAACAATGAGGTGACGACCCTCCGTCCACAGGTAATCTTCCGTGCTAGTGAGCTCTCGCGCAGATTTGGCGTCTATGAGCTCGTGTAGGATCACCTCGTTTACCACGCGCATCCACACTCTCTCGTGTTGCAAGGCGCATTCGTCGATTTTCGAGTTGGGCAAGCTTTTCGCCGACTTGACTGCCCTTCTGAAGTCATCCGCATGAGGTTGTTCGAGTTGCGGCACCAAGGTCTCGACCTCTGCAATGTTGTTGCAGGCGCGTAATTGTCGAGGGCATGAGATCAAAACATCACGGACTACTGCAATCTCTTCCGGACAGGGCGCTCCAGAGGGTGTAAAGAGAATGCCGGCCCTTTTCAGAGACTTGATTCTGAACGATGCGCTTGCTGCAGAGCTGTATGAAGCATGGGAAACATTCGAGCGAGGCATTCCGCGGGTCGAGTTGAGCTGAATATTCGCTGCGACGTTGAGACTTATGCGAGAGCGGGAATCAACCTGTAAATTCGTAGAGCAGGACAGAGATATGATGGGCACGTGGAAGAGCTGTGAAAGACGCGTGACATTACCGGAAAGGTGTCAGGATCTTCATTTTCTTTTCATCTCGTTTCTGTAAGATTCTAATTCTGATAGTATCCCACGTGTTCTCAGCCTCAACCTAAGACTTTCATTTGAGCACCATCCACAAGCGCCCGAATCAGCCTTTCAATGACGGTAAATGGAATGAATGCCCCAGTTCATTTCCATGACACGTGACCACCATGATATGTTTCTGGCTTACGGAGGAAGCAAGAGTTGCGAATGACAGACCTTCCGCCGAGACAATAGCGAGTGAAGTAGGAAGCATACAATAGTACCCTTCTAGCACGCTATCGTTTCTGAAGAGCATCGTTGTTCGCTAAGCATGTGCTGTGGTGAAAGTTGACCGAAGCTGCACTAGTGTCTCAAGATGGTCTATGCTCCTTTTACCTGCTGTCAACCAAAACTTCGACGTCCTTGATAATTTACGAGGAATGATGTGTAAATAATACAATGTGCTGGGGTAACACGTACAGACAGCACAAGTTGTGGAAAGCAGTGAGGCTGCATAATTGTTGCACTGCTAAATATCGATCACGATGAGGACCAAATGAGTGTCAAGGTTACTCGGGTGCATTGTCAAGCGAGGGCATGGCCAATGGAAAGATGACTTGAACCTTTTTCGTTCCCTGTATTGATCGGGGAGGTACGAGATACTTGTTGAAGTAGCACGCACCTAACCTCACTGCTCTGTCTGCGAGCACGTCTGACATCGAGGCGTGCAAAAGAGAGATAATCCTCCTAGCCATTATACGAGCCATTTAGAGGAGGCGGGGGACTCGTCTGCGCCCTACCCCGACAGTGCTGCTAGTGTCGGAAGAAACAAGCATCTCTTCTCTTGTCGCTGCCATTAGCTTTCATACTATAATTGGTCAAAAAGCGTCCAAACAGTCAGAAATTATTCGTACGCTCGCTTTTTTTTAAGAGAGAGAGGTGGTAGACTTAGCTAGTTTCGCGAGAGATTCTCTGTTTTCTGTGCTTCGCATCTAATATACTGTACAACACCATTTTTCGCACTCTCAACACAAATATCAATAGCATTCACAACAGTCGTGCGTATCAAGGGTTAGATCCACGCTCTTAAGTTCTGTACATTCCCCGCTATGTGCGCAACAATGCGGCGACTAGGTTGATAAGCTGAATGGATGCTTAAAAAACCACCTAGCGCTAGGGGCGTGCCCGGAAGTGTCGACTACATGAGTCATCAAACTGTCTCGAGTGATTACAGAGGATGGCCGGCTGAAGACTGAAGAACACTACTCCATGGGCAATTTTTCTGGCGGCTCAATAATCGCAGACACTTGTTGCGCAGACCCGACCAATATCGACCGACAAAGTTCGCTTCAAGTGGCCTTCGCAGCTTTCCCAGCAATGAAAAATATCGCCAGAAACCTTTCGTTCAGACATGCGACGGTGAAGTTGGCTAGAAGAAGAGATCGTGGCGACGAAAGCAAATGTGTAGACCGAAGGCTCATTGCACCTTCTTATGATTTTCGGGCTTTATGGACACTTGGAAAAGTTTCTGGCCAAGAGGAACAAAGCTACGTAAGGTCCGGCCATAAAATCATTCATTTTGACTGATGGGGGCAACAGCATTGAGCTCCGACGAAGTCTCTTTGCGCAGGTCTGCGCTGGAATACCTTATATTCATGAAGGCCAAGACAACCAAGTATCCCTCCAATGGTGAGCAATTATGAAACTTGTAACCGTCTCTCACAAAGACGTCAGAGATGGTGACTTAGCTGATGTGAAAAGGACCAAACTCACGGATTAACCTTGCCAGTCTTAATCGAACACGCCTTTCGTGCAAAGATCGCCGACTTTGAAGTGGCAATTTCCGTGACAAAGACACTAAAGGAAGCTGGGGCATCGCAGGTGTAAGCCCAGACGTCCCTCATCCTATCGTACTGTACGATTGTGCTTATTGCGCAAGCCACGCATGCGCCTGGCTTCAGATCGCCAGTAAGTGGTGAATCTGTGCATAAGACTGACGAGCTGTGGCAGCTTACCTTGTCTCAACCCTTTTCTGTGGATAACAGAAAATGCTGAGAGGAGAAAAGTACGGTGTCAAAAGCGACTCGCGGTCTCTCGGATGCCCTTTTTTCCAAATTCTGACCGGAAAATGGGTGCCGTAGACATGCTGAGGATTTCAATGTCTCACTTGATTCTTTTTTGATTGACACCTATTCGATGAAGGTGGTGTCAACAGAAATCAAAATATTTCACGGAGTCGTAGCTTGGCCGCTCTCGCCAATCTCAACCCTTCTGAGAAAGATGTGATCGACAGTCTTCTTCAAGCTGTCGTGAGCTCTTGTACGGCTCTCAATGGAAGTGCATTGAGACACTTACCATCTTTATTGCTCGTCACCGTCACAATTGCTTCTGCTGAAACAACCATTGCAGAGACTCTCCTCGGCCCAGCTTTTTGCCAATTCTGCTATCATAGATTGGCTCCTGGACACGCCCCTTCGCTAATTTCACCTTTTTCGAGACAATATAAACGCTTCTAACGCAGCCCCGTCGGAAGTCTTGATCATGTGCATCGAGAGAACACTCTAGTTGAATCCGCATCTCCCGTCGGACCGCCTGAGGAGACGAGAAAGATACCTGTCCGTCACAAGCTCGTCAGACATCCGAGCCTCTCGCCTCTTGCCTCTTGCCTCTTGCCTCTTGCCTCTTGCCTCTTGCCTCTTGCCTCTTGCCTCTT